TGCTGAGGGGCAATGCCACCTGTGGCAGCACCTCTGTGGGAGCTGGGGTCTGTTGTATATTTAATCCATGTAATTATATTGCTCCTGTGTGTGACAGGTGTCTTGCAGTGCTCCATGTGTCCCCTGAGCCCTTGGGCAGGAGGTGAAGTGAGGAACCTGGGGGGTGGGGAAGGAATTTAAAAATTAATCAGCGTGTGCAGGGAAGGAAAGGTCAGGAGGAAAGACAGCCCAAAGGAGCAAAGGGTGATGCATGGACATGGCAGCCAAAGCTGACACGCTCCATTAGCTGCTGGGGGGAACACGTGGAGGTTTCCAGGGAGGAGAGGATGGTCAGAGAGATGGCTCTGAGGGGAGAGGATCGTGGTGGTGGACACGGCTCTATCTGCTGGGACCTCGGGGGCAGCAGCGGCGGGGATGGTGGCGACCGTCAAGATCGCGGTGCTGGGAGCCCAGGGCGTGGGCAAGAGCGCCATAGTCCGGCAGTTCCTCTACAACGAGTTCAGCGAGGTCTGTGTGCCCACCACGTCCCGCCGCGTCTACCTGCCCGCCGTCGTCATGAACGGCCACGTCCACGACCTGCAGATCATGGACTTTCCCCCCATCACCGCCTTCCCCGTCAACACCCTGCAGGTAGGGGTGCACCCCGCGCCCTGCCCCGGGACCCCCAGGCTGGCTGGGGCTTCGCTGGGTGACCCTGAGGGGTCCCAGTTCCTCCTCTTCCGGGATTTGTTGGCCAAAAGCCAGTGCAAGGGATCGTGTCCTTCTGGTTACTGGCTGAGTGGGCCCAGGACAAAGTGTGTTTTGCAGCTTTTTTCACCTAAAATGATGGCAAATGTGGGAAGGATGGTGTCCCACTCTGAAGACCTTGGCTCTGGTGATGCCCACTGAGCCACCCAGCTGGGCAGTGGATCCCAGAGCACTGGGTCAGATTCCATTGCTGTCAGAGCCAGGGCCAGCAAAGGGCTGGGGGAGCATGGCCACTGCATTTGGGTCAATATCTGGGGTTCCTGGAGAGCCAGACCCTAGTGTACCCACTGCCTGAGCCAGGAGCTGCTTGTCCCCTCCTGGGATGACTGTCACCCCTCAGCATTGCCTGGGCTTGTCCCCAGGGTACCGAGCCCACCAGCTCCTCCTCAGTGTGCTCAGGCACTGCCAGAACAGCCCCAGAGGCACCGTGGGGCTGCAAAGCCTTGTCCTCAGTGCCCATCGCTTATGGGGTTAATGGGGAAACAGGGGGTTTTAAGCTCATGCTGTGGCCCCATCCTGGAGCCACAACTTGTGCCAGCACCACAGGGAAAGGGGCTGGGGGTGCCCCCATGGCCACAGCCGTGCTGAGGGGCAATGCCACCTGTGGCAGCACCTCTGTGGGAGCTGGGGTCTGTTGTATATTTAATCCATGTAATTATATTGCTCCTGTGTGTGACAGGTGTCTTGCAGTGCTCCATGTGTCCCCTGAGCCCTTGGGCAGGAGGTGAAGTGAGGAACCTGGGGGGTGGGGAAGGAATTTAAAAATTAATCAGCGTGTGCAGGGAAGGAAAGGTCAGGAGGAAAGACAGCCCAAAGGAGCAAAGGGTGATGCATGGACATGGCAGCCAAAGCTGACACGCTCCATTAGCTGCTGGGGGGAACACGTGGAGGTTTCCAGGGAGGAGAGGATGGTCAGAGAGATGGCTCTGAGGGGAGAGGATCGTGGTGGTGGACACGGCTCTATCTGCTGGGAAGCACCTCTGGCTCTGCTCCGTGCCTGGGAACAGCAGCCCTGTGGTGGGATCCTGGGGAGGGGTGGGAGATGGTGGCTCCCTGCCCCTCTCCTGCGTGGGGCCAGGCGGGATGCTCAGTGTGAGCCTCCTCCAGCTTGGAGCAAGGGGCACCCCAGCGTGGTGGAATAAGCTGCAATGTATTAATGTCCCAGATGTAGCAGGACTCAGAGTAACCTGAGCCACCGCTCCCACACACCGGAGAGGGGCTGGGGCTGCTCCTTCCCCTGCTGCGCCGTGAGGGAGACGGACCCGCACCCCGAAACTTCCCTTCCCCCGTTCTCTTCAGCCTGAGATCTCATTGTTTTGCCCCATTCCGATGATAACCTCAGGACAGGATGATTCACGGCACTGGAGAGGTTTGTGGAGAGGAGCTGCCGTTCCCCCTCGGGGCATCTTTCCCCCTCCAGGGGTGCTCAGGGGGCTGCGGTGCAGGGGCTGCCATTCCCGGTGGCACTGCTGGTGGGAAAGGCGGCTGGAAGTGGGACAGATTGTCACTCCTATGGCATGAGAAAAAATAATCCTGTTATTCCTGGAAACTCAAAGCTTTCCTAACAACATGTGCTCCTTACAGCTCCACATGTTGGCTGTGGAGAGATCACCCCTGACTGCGTCAGCCCCAGCTCCTGATCCTCCTGTCACGGGCTCCACTCCCGAGCAGCTCCTGCTCCTCTCCTTTCCCTGTGTCCCCTCCAAACAGCCCTGCTGTCACCTTCCCCCTCCGACCCACGGAGCTGCTGGTCCATCACCCCCAGCCCCACAGAGATGGGGCATCCGCCTCACCTGCCCTGCCCAAAAACCATTGTGCATGGCTAATTAACAAGCCTGCAGCCCCTTTGCCACCTGCTGGTGCGGCAGAGCCCGGGTGTGCCCGGCTGGGCAGTGTGGGGCCCCCCGGGCACGGGATGGGGCCAGGATTGACCCCTCTCTGCACCTTGCAGGAGTGGGCAGACGTGTGTTGCAGGGGGCTCCGGAGCGTCCATGCCTACATCCTGGTCTATGACATCTGTTGCTTTGACAGCTTCGAGTACATCAAAACCATCCGCCAGCAGATCCTGGAAACGAGGTAGGGAGCAGGTGGATGGTGGGTGCATCCCCCAGGGCTCCTGAGGGGCAGTGCGGTTCCTCCCAGCGCTCCCCTGCCCTTGGCATCGGAGATGAGGTGTTAGAGTCTGGGATAAAGCCCCTTTGCAGGGCTGGGAGGCCAAAAGCAAAACTGGACCAGAGAGCAGGAGAAGGCTCAGGGCTCTGGACAGGTGTGTCCTGTGGGCAAGGGCAGTGTACCCTGGGACAGCAACTGGGGCTGACACGGTGGGGAGGGCTGGGCAGAAAGAGGGACAAGGGGACAGGCCAAGAGGAGGCACAACCTTCTTGGGAAGCCAAAGCCAAGAGCAGGTTTGGGACTAGTTGGGATCCATGGGCTGATCTGCTGTTGTGCTGTGCCCCATCCCCTTCTGTCCTCCCTCACCACCTCTCCTCCCCAGGGTCATTGGCACTTCAGAGACGCCCATCATCATCGTGGGCAACAAGCGGGACCTGCAGCGGGGCCGGGTGATCCCGCGCTGGAACGTCTCCAACCTGGTGAAGAAGACGTGGAAGTGCGGCTACATCGAGTGCTCGGCCAAGTACAACTGGCACATCCTGCTGCTCTTCAGTGAGCTCCTGAAGAGTGTGGGCTGCGCCCGCTGCAAGCACGTCCACACCACCATCCGCTTCCAGGGCGCCCTGCGCAGGAACCGATGCACCATCATGTGAGCCCCCCACCCCTGGCGGACCCCCCGGCTGTGTCCCCACAGCCACCCAACCTCGGGGACCACTGGCCTCGCTGTGGGGGTGATGTGGTGGGGGGAGCTGTGCCACAGGCACCTCGGGGTTTGCTTCCCTGCCAGCCTGGCACCCTGCGGTGACATCTGGGGACAGTGCACCTCGGGTGCAAGGCAGGGTGATGTGGTGGCCACTTGAGCAGGTGAGTGGCTGGGCTGCCTGGAGGGAGCAAGGACAGAGGGAAGACCCTGAGCCCTTCCCGAGCCTCCAGCACTTGGGGCCAAAGATCTCCTGGGGAGTTTGTGTCTCTGTTGTGCCCAGACCACTGCGTAGCACTTGGGGGGTGGAGCAGGTGCCTCAGGTTGTTGTTGTCAGATGTTGGCTGACAGGTCAGTCCTTGCCTGGCTCCTGCCCCAGCATTGCAGGGCAACACTTGCTGCTGCCCCCCTGTCACCCGTCCCTGGATGAAAATGACCCAGTGCCTGTATCCTGAAGCTGAGGGTGGCTCCATCCCTGGGACACAGTGGAGGTTAGAGCCCCATTTTCCTCCCTGCAGAGCTGGGGCTTCTCCCCTCTGAGGGCCCAGCAGCCTCCAGTAAGAGGGCAGGTAACACAGGCTCTGTTTTGGCTCAGATGAGTCAGGTTTCCATATAGAATTTTAGATGAGAGCAAGAAAGCAGGGGAAAAAAATAAAAAAACCCATCCTGCCCCTAACATCCTGGGTCCCAGGTGCTGCTTCCCCAGGGCTTCAAGTCTCTTTCTGCCCTGGTTCAGCCAAGGAAGGCTTCTCCTCCCCCACCAGCCTGTGGAACACCAAATATCTCGACACGCTCCTTGCTGGGCAGCTCATCCCTCGCTACCTCGTGCCCTGGGCTCAGCAGGCTCTGCACGGCCCCCCCAGCCCCCCAGTGCCCCCCGGGCGGGCAGGCAGCCCCCCCATACCATCACACCCCACTGGCAGTGCCACCAGGTGGGTCTCTCCAGGGGTGCTCAGGGGGCTGCGGTGCAGGGGCTGCCATTCCCGGTGGCACTGCTGGTGGGAAAGGCGGCTGGAAGTGGGACAGATTGTCACTCCTATGGCATGAGAAAAAATAATCCTGTTATTCCTGGAAACTCAAAGCTTTCCTAACAACATGTGCTCCTTACAGCTCCACATGTTGGCTGTGGAGAGATCACCCCTGACTGCGTCAGCCCCAGCTCCTGATCCTCCTGTCACGGGCTCCACTCCCGAGCAGCTCCTGCTCCTCTCCTTTCCCTGTGTCCCCTCCAAACAGCCCTGCTGTCACCTTCCCCCTCCGACCCACGGAGCTGCTGGTCCATCACCCCCAGCCCCACAGAGATGGGGCATCCGCCTCACCTGCCCTGCCCAAAAACCATTGTGCATGGCTAATTAACAAGCCTGCAGCCCCTTTGCCACCTGCTGGTGCGGCAGAGCCCGGGTGTGCCCGGCTGGGCAGTGTGGGGCCCCCCGGGCACGGGATGGGGCCAGGATTGACCCCTCTCTGCACCTTGCAGGAGTGGGCAGACGTGTGTTGCAGGGGGCTCCGGAGCGTCCATGCCTACATCCTGGTCTATGACATCTGTTGCTTTGACAGCTTCGAGTACATCAAAACCATCCGCCAGCAGATCCTGGAAACGAGGTAGGGAGCAGGTGGATGGTGGGTGCATCCCCCAGGGCTCCTGAGGGGCAGTGCGGTTCCTCCCAGCGCTCCCCTGCCCTTGGCATCGGAGATGAGGTGTTAGAGTCTGGGATAAAGCCCCTTGGCAGGGCTGGGAGGCCAAAAGCAAAACTGGACCAGAGAGCAGGAAGAGGCTCAGGACTCTGGACAGGTGTGTCCTGTGGGCAAGGGCAGTGTACCCTGGGACAGCAACTGGGGCTGACACGGTGGGGAGGGCTGGGCAGAAAGAGGGACAAGGGGACAGGCCAAGAGGAGGCACAACCTTCTTGGGAAGCCAAAGCCAAGAGCAGGTTTGGGACTGGTTGGGATCCATGGGCTGATCTGTGGTTGTGCTGTGCCCCATCCCCTTCTGTCCTCCCTCACCACCTCTCCTCCCCAGGGTCATTGGCACTTCAGAGACGCCCATCATCATCGTGGGCAACAAGCGGGACCTGCAGCGGGGCCGGGTGATCCCGCGCTGGAACGTCTCCAACCTGGTGAAGAAGACGTGGAAGTGCGGCTACATCGAGTGCTCGGCCAAGTACAACTGGCACATCCTGCTGCTCTTCAGTGAGCTCCTGAAGAGCGTGGGCTGCGCCCGCTGCAAGCACGTCCACACCACCATCCGCTTCCAGGGCGCCCTGCGCAGGAACCGATGCACCATCATGTGAGCCCCCCACCCCTGGCGGACCCCCCGGCTGTGTCCCCACAGCCACCCAACCTCGGGGACCACTGGCCTCGCTGTGGGGGTGATGTGGTGGGGGGAGCTGTGCCACAGGCACCTCGGGGTTTGCTTCCCTGCCAGCCTGGCACCCTGCGGTGACATCTGGGGACAGTGCACCTCGGGTGCAAGGCAGGGCGATGTGGTGGCCACTTGAGCAGGTGAGTGGCTGGGCTGCCTGGAGGTAGCAAGGAGTGAGGGAAGACCCTGAGCCCTTCCCGAGCCTCCAGCACTTGGGGCCAAAGATCTCCTGGGGAGTTTGTGTCTCTGTTGTGCCCAGACCACTGCATAGCACTGGGGGGGTGGAGCAGGTGCCTCAGGTTGTTGTTGTCAGATGTTGGCTGACAGGTCAGTCCTTGCCTGGCTCCTGCCCCAGCATTGCAGGGCAACACTTGCTGCTGCCCCCCTGTCACCCGTCCCTGGATGAAAATTACCCAGTGCCTGTATCCTGAAGCTGAGGGTGGCTCCATCCCTGGGACACAGTGGAGGTTAGAGCCCCATTTTCCTCCCTGCAGAGCTGGGGCTTCTCCCCTCTGAGGGCAGAGCAGCCTCCAGTAAGAGGGCAGGTAACACAGGCTCTGTTTTGGCTCAGTTGGGTCAGGTTTCCATATAGAATTTTAGATGAGAGCAAGAAAGCAGGGGAAAAAAATAAAAGAACCCATCCTGCCCCTAACATCCTGGGTCCCAGGTGCTGCTTCCCCAGGGCTTCAAGTCTCTTTCTGCCCTGGTTCAGCCAAGGAAGGCTTCTCCTCCCCCACCAGCCTGTGGAACACCAAATATCTCGACACGCTCCTTGCTGGGCAGCTCATCCCTCGCTACCTCGTGCCCTGGGCTCAGCAGGCTCTGCACGGCCCCCCCAGCCCCCCAGTGCCCCCCGGGCGGGCAGGCAGCCCCCCCATACCATCACACCCCACTGGCAGTGCCACCAGGTGGGTCTGACCACAGTGGGCTTTGCCCCAGTGACAACTGCCTCCATCCAGGTGAGGCTCTGGGAAGGCAGCCTCCGAAGCAATAGGGAGCTGGAGTTGCATTTCCAGTTGCATTCTTGCTGGTTTTTTTCCTTTCACTCTGCATTTCCCCAGTAGGAAAGTGTGTCCCTCATTAATTTATTTAGTAATTAACCTTTTGTCTTGTTTTCACCCCAGCCTTGCAGCTGCTGCAGGGCAGGTGGCAAAGTGCAGCCCCTGGTAGGGAGCAGCCTTGGGGCAGTGAGCAGGGGCCCAGGGGGTCATGGTTCCTCCTCCTCAGCTGCTCCCTGTGGGACACGTGGTAACCCCATCCTTGCCCCCCGGGGCAGGATCTGGGGCTGGTCCATCCCCTGGCAAACCCATCTCTGTGGTTCCTCATCCCTCCCCAGCCAGGTTTCCACCCCACGGAGCCCCGCGCTGCTCCGGTAACGCTCCATTCAGAGCAGGCACAGCCCCGTTTCACCTCCCCATCCCTGCTGCCAGGCCACGGGGCTGGGGTTGTCCTGCTCCTCCCTTCCAAACCCCCTTCCCCTTGCTCAAAAAAAAAAAGAAAAAGAAAAGAAAAAAAAGAGCCCTGGCAATGGGGAGACACGGGGCCACCCCAGGCAGCTGCGAGAGCCCCGGCAGGGGACAGGCAGTGGCACTTGTCACCATCCCTTGCCTTCATGGCAAACCTACTGGTCCCCCCAGCCCCCTGTTGCCAGGATTTGTTAATACCAGTAAGCCCAGGTGATGGGTCTCTGGCGAGCTTTATCCCCCCAAATTCTTTGAGAAGGAACCTCTCAGTAAATGCTAATAATGAAGCGTTTATAAAGTGCTCCGACATACACATATCAACAACTAAGCCAATACATTGTTACACCCCTGTAGCCTGTGGTTTATAGCACAATTAGTTACAGGTTTTTATAGCATCTATTTAGTATTTTGAAAACAAACAAACAACAGAGGTTATAAATATAATTGTTATATTCTATTGTACTTTATAGACAGAGAAAGTTACATTAGTAACAATAACTCTCACTGCTTTGACAGCGTTTCCCAGCTCCCAAGAAAATGAGGGCTACAAAGAGCTACTTTCCCACGAGCCCAGGAGGGGGGGTTGGCACCCGTGGGGTGCAGGCAGGGGAGTGGGGTGGGGGTGACAAGCACCTTCCCCCTGCTTGCACCCCTAGTACAAAGTGTTACAGCTTGCCCAACACCACCCGGTCCTGCTAGAACTGACCTGCTGCTGAGCCTGGCAGAGGCTGAGGGTGTCCCCAGTGCTGCCCCAGGGCAGTGCCAGGTTCCTGCCCCCCAGCAGGTGATGCCTGGGCTTGGTGCAGCCCCAGCAAGGATGCTTCCCTCTCCTGCTGCCCCAGTGAGCCTCCTGGTTGCCTGGACTTGGCTTTCCTTTCCCCCATGGACTTATCAGAGATTCCTGAGGTGTCTACACCACCTGTAATGCCCTGCACCCCTTCCTTTGAAATCGAATTAAAAATCAGGTCTGTCCCCCTTGTTGGGTACCTGCCTGGCTGCTCCTTGCCTGTGGGAATGGGTTGCTTGCTGCTCTGGGAGCCCTTCTGCAGGGGATGGGCCAGGGTGGGACAGTTGGTTTCTCCACTGCAAAAAGAGTATTTTTGCAAGGAGGTTTTGCATCCACAGGGCCCTTGCTGTGTCTTCATGGGGATGTGGGTCTGGCTTCATCCTCTTTGAAGATGGGGCTCTCCTGGCCCCTGGGGGACTCGAGGGGACACTTGCTGTGCACACAGACAGCAGAGCAGCAGCATCAATCCCCTTCACCAGCCGTGACCCCCCGTCAGGATTATTTTCTCCCTCCCACCCACATAGAAAAGATGCCAGAACAGGAGTTTGGGTTTGTCTCTAGCACAGACAAGGCGGGTCTGTGGCTGCAGGTCCGGGGGGGGTGGAGCCTTGATGACACCCCTCACCACGGCCAGCACTGCCAAGGGCCCACTGACCCCTTGGCTCTCACATCCTCACCCCTAAGGAAGCCCGTGGGGCTCACACAGGGGTGTCCCTGCTCCAGGGGTGTCCTGTGGGGGCAGCTACCCCCCTTCCCTGCACAAAGTGCCCCCTTCTCTCAGCTGGGGCTGGATTTCTCCACCCAAATCAGTTCAAAAAAACCCGCAAAACTCCCATGGGAGGGAGGGTGTGTAGCTCCAGAAAGTATTGGGGGGGGATCCCCCCATGACAGCAGATCCATCCCCCTGCCCACGCCAGCCCCCCAGCTCTGGCTTCAGCATCACCCCCTCAGCTGAGGGAGGGGTCCCCGGGCTGGGGGTCAGACCCACGCCTCCTCATCCTCAGCCAGCCCTGTCCCGCTGTGTGCCGGGGGGGGCTCGGCCACAGGGCGGGTGTCCTGGGGCGGGGGGCGGCGGGGGGGCCCCGGGGGGCG